CCAAGAAGAGAGCAGGATGGAGGGGGAAGGGTCAGGAGAAAACTTGCTGCGATTCCAGTAACATTTGTGTCCACTGTTGGACATCTCTTGCCAAGTGTTTTGGAATTTTAACTTTATGTCCCTCCAGGGACAACAGGGGCTTTTTAAGGCTACTAATAACCATGGGACTTCCATGTGGGAAGTTCACAAGGCCTCCAACGTGCCAGAGAACTCACTGAGTATGAAAGCTGGGGTAGCCAATGGAGTGAGGGCAGCAAGGGGGTGGTGTCACATTTTTGGTGTTATTGTTACAGACCCTTGAGTCAAAAACTGACTCACCCTCCAGCAGGTGTTCAGGGGCAGTAACTCACGTGAGAGAAGCCTGCCCATCTTTGTCAGTGAGTTCTCTCAAGAAGAAGAGACAGCAGGTCCCAGTGACTGAGAGAAGAGTTCTCAATCACTCTTTTTTAACCCAAAACAAACAGAGACACTCAAACTGCAAGAAGCAAATAGCAGGGCATAGACAAGGGAAGATCCCACCTCTCCACCATACCAAATGCCATCACATCGCTTCCTCCTGTCTTGAGAAATGGAAAAGGAACAAGCAGAAGGCTCTTAGATCTGTGGATCAAAAACAGAGTGTACAACGTACAGGAGCACTGTGGGGCATGAGGAAATCTGTTTTCTAGGCATTCACCTTTAGCTTTCCAGAGAACCAGAGACTCTAAGGGTCACTTGCATGATGCATGGAGAACACAACCAAATATAATAGCAGGAGACACAGGGAAGTCCATTAGGAACATCTGTGATGTTTGGAGAGGAATGTAAAGAATCCAGAGATGGATGAGTCTATCAGAGATAGGTCTCAAGCTTTAGAAGATTTTTAAAGGAAAACCAAACAGAGCCATAACAAAGCTAGGCTTTAGCAAGGACAACACAGATGTGGAAGTCTCTGTGTGCTACACCGGGAAGGTTAGGTTAGGAGGCAAGCCCAGTGACCAGCATCCTTGGGTCATGGCAGTATAAGTGCCCACAGGCACCCCCATTCAAACTGAGCTCAGGGCAATTTGGACACAGCCTGGGATGAGAGTCAGTCAGAAAGGCACATCTAAATGCCTTTCTACAGTCCACACAGGAATACACTCCACCACGCAGCCATTGGCTTGCTCCACTGAATTAGGCAGAAAACCATGGCATCAGGCAGGAAATACTGCCAACCCACCAACCAGAGAACCCGAGGCCCACAGAGAGACAAGGGCGCCATCATCACCAGGGACACAGAGACCCTCTACTCACTGGCGAGCCGGCTGCCTCTCTCAGCCAGCTCACAAAGCACTCAGACTTTCTAGTGACTGTTTATTCACCCACCCTGCGGAGCGTAGCCATTCACGCCAACTGAACGTACAGGGATTTCAACAACTGCATTTATTCTAAACAAATGTAGAGATGAAAACTGGCTCTGGCGATTTTAACACGTCCTCACAAAGCGGTGATAACTTCCCACGCACAACAGACAGAGCTTCCCTGAATCTTTGACGAGACAAAAACAAGTAAGCAACATAGGGCACAGTGCCTACCTACTGTTCACATGACTTGCTATGAGGTGTAGTCGACTCAACGGCACCTCACAACAACAACAACAACACCTGAAATCATTTTAGGCATAAGCCTGAGGAGGCTCTTTTAAAAATTCTGAAACAGAAGTGACAGTGAGCTGCTTTGAAAGCAAGAGACTCAAATGTATTGAAACATTTAGCACCCGCTCTGTGAGGGTGCTGAGTTGGCAGGCTCCTTGGGTGGGGGTAGGGTGGCGGGGGTGGGAATGGTGGCTGATGGGTGCAGAGATTAGATAGATCATCCTGGGCTCAAAGATCTCAATAGGATATAAGACCTGTGTTCTTGAAGCCCAGTGCAGTATCACTTGAAAGTACAAAACAACGCAGGTGGTGGGAGAAGAAAGGCGTCACGTCTGAAAACTCAGAAGCACTTCATTCTTGGGAGGTCTGGAAGGCAGTGGGGGAGGGAAGATTGGCAAAGCCCAGCAGGCCTATTTGTCTTGTGACCTTGTCTCAAGGTCAAATCACAAGCTTGGGATTCTATTTCACCTGCCAAGTCAAGATGGATGTCTCCTTTCCATTTTCAGGTCCTTAGAAAAGCAGGTCTCAGTAAGAACCACGGACTATTATTATCCTTAGGAGGAATGCCAAGAACCGAGCCAGAGTCTTAGCACTCAGGGCTGGCAGGCTGCAGCCAATCTCAACAGCTCTGCTGGGGAATCTGTTTAATCGGATGGCACTCACTTTGAGAGGGTCCAGAGAATGTCAGTGGGGCAAGTGTCACATCAGTTCGCTTGCATCTGGCACAAAGAAGGAGGAGTCAAGGAAGTGTAACAGAATTAGACAAAGAGAGAGGCAAAACTTCCTTCCAAGGCCCAGCCTAAGTCAGGCCTCCAGTCAGATGGCATCACTGCCCTCCCATACTGGACTGACTGTGGCTTCAGTGCCACTCCACCTAATAGCCTTGTTCTCACTTCAGCCCTGGATCTCCTAGGTAGTACCTCGCAAAGGACATTGCATACACTAAGTGCCTCCAAGAAGTTGCTTGGTTTGATGTTAAACCTCACCTCTCTCTTCCTCAGCTGAACAGGATCCTTTCCTAAAATTATCTTGAGATGAGAATGTTGAAGTTCTAAATAAAATACTTTGGAACTAGACAGAAAGCGCCCCTGGCCTGGCAGCATGGACAGATATCCTGAGGGGCTGTGAGGACCACAGGGGACCACAGTCACTCACCACAAGAGATAATTAGAAAGTTCTTTCTCAGAGTACAGTGGTCTCTCAGGAGCCCAGTATATCACTCTCTTCTTCCAGCCATTCAGCCCCAAGCCAGTCTTCCCTCCCTAGCCTTACAGCCCCTTCCTCCCTTATAACTATCCCTAACCATCAGATCCAGAAGATTGGCCTGACGGACAGAAGAGAGAAAGAAAACTGTCTGGTAGGGTCTGGTTTTTTATCTCAGGACAGGTTTAAAAGAAAGATGTGAAAAGTACATATAAGACTCACCGATGGCTGCATTTGGAAAGGCTGTGTGATGGAAACGTAAAACCCAGAACTGAAAAGAAAAACTACCTCACCTGGCACTACAGAGAGATTCAGTCTGACTCAGTGGCTTGGAAACAGGTGGAAACTGGTATCCAAAACATCCCAGCTGTGGGCCAGGAAACTTCTACGCCTCCCACCTGGCTGTGAGGCCCTCCATTATCTTCCTCAGATCCATTTTAGGGGTTGAATGTATAAACCTAGGGAAGGGAGTCTCCTTTACCTCCTAACCACCTCCCAGTCTAATTGACTACTCACTTCCAAGAAGCCCAAGGGACCCATCTACACTGACAAAAAACAAAGACAGATCCTTGAACCTTGTACATATCTGAGGGTGAGTCGGACCGCCCTGCCAAGTTTATGTCACCCCACCTGAGCTTTCATCTCTCCTTCTCTTTGATCACTTTCCCTCCAGAGTGTCTCATTCCACCCACCAAACTTTCTATTTGTTTCTTTCTCTACAAAATAAATGCCTTTTAAACCATTCTAAGGAATCTTCAGCCACAGAAGGCCAGTGCACAAATCCATGATACTTCAAAAGAGCAAGGCTTTGGAATGAAGGCTGTTCTAGTCCACTTTAACCAAGTCAATCTCTTCCCCCTTGCAATGGGTCAACAATTCTCATACTAAAAAAAACCACAAAAACCCCAAACCAAAAACAACCACCAAAACAATTCCCATATCAGAGCTGTGGTCATTAATACCTGTAAAGTTCTTAGCACACAGTGAGTATTAATGTCTGCTGAAATGGACCCACCACACTATGATTATTAGTTTTCACAGGAGCCAGCCACACCCTCACCAATCCTACTAAAAACACTCTCTTCCAAATATAATAAAAAACTTAAGACTCCTCTTAGCAACTCCAAACATTCTACCAGCTGTTGTTGTTGTTATTGTTGTTGTGTGCCATGGAGCTGGAACTGATGCATAACTGTTCCAGTGGGTTTTCAGAGGCTGTAAATCATACAGGAGAAGACTGTACATCTTTCTCCTGCAGAGCATCTGGTGGATTCAAACTGCTTGCCTTTTGGCTAGCAGTGCAACTCCTTACCACTTGGCCACCAGAGCCCTACCTAGCATTGTACCAGAGGGAGTTTCAATAGCTCTATAGCCTAATGGTGGTGATGATGGTTTGTGTTGTTGAACTGGAACCAACCCATAGCTGAACCTCCACTGGGTTTTCAGAGGCAGGAAATCTCATGAGAGGAGCTTGCCCTTCCTTCTCTGGTGGCAGAATGGATGCTCAACAGCCTAGTAGGGATGTGGAAAATTAACATGGAGAGGTAGAAAAACCACTGGTCTAAGAATCTCAAGGTGCTACTACTGAACAACGGGCAGTTAGTATGCATTTTGAACCCAACAGAAAGGATAATGTCTAAGCTACATTCCAGCAATAGCTTACCACCATCCCTGAGACAGCTTCCCTGCTGAGGGTGCAGCCTCTAAGCAGTTTGAACATTAACTCTGAATAAGCTGGTCAACCGTTAACCTGCAGAAGAAATCAGCACCCGGCACAGCCATATAAATTGCCCTTTACAGCAATGTCTCTACTGGCCAAGGCATCGCTGGGAAGAGAGGCTCTGGATTGAATTAACTACGCAAATCATTTCCTCCTCTGGCACCTAGAATGGCAGCCAGGATGGCTCATTTACAACAATGACTAGCATCTGTTGAACATGCACCGCGTTCAGGCACTACAGACATCTTGCACTCATCATCTGATGAAGCTGAATCTTCTCCACACCCTATGAGGTACAGACTGTTAGTCACATTTCACACATGAAGAAGCAGGTTTACAAGCATTAGGGGAATTTCTGGAGGTCACAAAGTCCTGATAAATGACATGGGACCCTTGTCTCCAATCACAGAAAAAGCTACCTTCCTCTAAAAAGCCAGTTGTGACTCGTTAGTTAAACTCACCTGATAGGAGAGGCCATCCTTCCGGGGGTTGAGTCCTATCTCCTCCATGGATGGGGTGTTCATCATCACCTCAGTCATCTCGGCCGATCTCAGATAGTCAGGGCTGCCAAAAAACCCAGAACAAAGTCAACAAACACGTGCACTTTCACAGTCCCACTTGCCGTATGCCCGCTGTTGTGTTAGATCAGGGGACTGTCTGGAGACAGGATGAGAGCTGTGCAAAACAGAACTGGAAGAAAAACAAGCTCACACCCTGAGGAAGTGCAGTACAAGCCCACAGCATCGAGCTTTCAAGCTCAACCAACAAAGCCCATTGTCTGGCAAACCTCTGAGGCTGCCTCCTTTCCTATACATCACACTAGAACCTGCTGCTGCTGCTTCCAGAAGCAGAGTGACTCTGGAGTTTCTTCACGAACAAAGTGAACAACAAAAAAACAGGTAGCTGAGTCCATCTATCTAAATAAATACCAATTCCACCAAGTCTGCCTCTACAACTCCAGGGTACAGATTTTATTTATTTTATTTTTTTTTTTTAAAAAAAATCCTTACATGAATTGTGTCGAGAGATGCACTTCATATTATTATTATTATATAATAACCACAACAGGTCAACCTCCGGAAAAAAAGTCTAATCACATGTCCTCCCACATTTCCCCCGTCTCTCTGGTGCTCTTCTTTGCAAGAATGTCCCACTTAAAGCCCCAAGGGGTCAGCTTCTCTGCAAGCTTCACATCTGCCATCCAACCCCCTTCTCCAGCCCCAGCCACAGCAGCTGCAAGCTCACAGCTTGAAAACATCCCCTGGATTAAAAGCCTGAAGGATACCGGGACTCTGATTGCAAAGGAAATTTCCAGAGGGGTCAGCCTGGCCCACCAATGGCTGACAAGTGAAAGTGCTTTGGACTCTATAAGCAGGATACAAGCATTCCATTATCCTCCCACACCCTTTACACAGCCATGAGCACACAGAGGGTCCTGTACAAATCATGCAAAAGGTTGCTGCTGTTGTTATATGCCATTGAGTCAACCGCGACTCATAATGATCCATGAACAACAGATTAGAACCATGTCCTATTCCTCACCCTCACCGCCGCTGGCCTCTTTAGAGATTCTTGTTATGGTCTGTCCTGTTGAGAGCCTTCCGCTTTCTCTCACCCTCCTCTTTTCCCAGAGGGATGTCTTTTTACAGACTGGCCCCTTCTTAACATGCCCAAAGTACATGAGACAAGTTTCACCATCCTTGCCTCCAAGTACCCTTTCCATAATATTCACAATTTTCACCACTATACACATGAATTTAAGAAACACAAACAAAAAAGTGGTGGGCAAGGCTTTAAAGTATATATATCCATCTATATAGAAATAAGACTACTAGACCCCTCATTTTACAGTTATAGTATATAGTATATAGTAGAAAGGCACCCAGGTGGCGCAGTGGTTAAAGTATTTGATTGCTCAGTAAAAGTGGGTAGTTGGAACCCAGCAACCACTCCCTGGGAAAAAGACAAGGCAGCTTGTCTTGGAATCTAGTCCTGAAAACCATAAGAGACAGTTCCATTCTGTCCTGTATGGGTCCCTATGGGTCACAATTCACTCAGTGGCCGTGGGTTGGATTGAGTTTTACTTGTAGTAGAAATAGCACTGGATGTGGAAATAGAAGCCGTGAGTTCTGCCATCACTACCTGTGTAATTTTGAACAAGTAGAACCTCTCGGAACCACAGGTGTCCCTGTTTATTACTATGCTGCTAATAATGCTTATCTCTCACTGTTGTGGTGGAAGTACAGTTAATATGACGGAGGTGTTACTAACTCTGATGCATTAACTCTAAAATGACCTTAAACCTTTTCTCAGGGGATAATAACCCTGAAAGCTCTGACATCTACTTGGCAGATTTTGAATGATTAGGGACACAGACGCCCCAAAATCTCACCCATAAGGCATCTGGCTGCTCACATATCGTGGGGATGGGAGCAAAAGGGTGCCCATAAAGAAAGGATTCATAAGCCTCAAAGGATGGGGAAGGGGAGGTTTTACTTTGTTCCGAGAGCTTAATTCCCTCTTTAAACAGGGCTAAGGAAAGTAGCTGTGGGATAAATTTAAGGCTAGTTTCTTTTGACTCGCAAAGAAATGGGCCACCACCGAATTCTCCGCCCGCTCGTCGCCTGGTGTAGGAGCGCACTATCCTCGCTTGGGGCCGTGGCGCTGGCCCGAAAAGTTAAGGCGAGAAGCAGTGAACTTTCCGGTTCCTGGGCAGAGTAGGACTGCGCAGGGGCTAGAACCTGTCTTCCCCTCGGGCAGGGCTGGGGTGTCCGCGCCTTCACCTGAGTGCACGCCCAGGAGTCGCCAGTGTGCGCCCCACCGGCTGCTTTTTCTTGTCCTCAGCGCAGGGCGCAGAGGCTTCGCTCTGCAAATAGACCTGCACCCTCAGCTATCACTCAGGGTTCCAATCCCTCAGCGGGGCACAAACCTTGTTGTGTCCCCCCCCACCCCCACCCCGTGCGGCCTGGGCTCCCTCTAACGCGGCGAGGGTGCTTCCTCTTTAGGACCCTAGCAAAGACGCCTCGAATTTTATTTATTTTTTTTTTTTTTTTAAGGGCCGTGGAGAGGGAAAGGGTTCCGAAGAGTGCAGTGCGTCCCCTTGCAGATAGTGGCTTTATTTGTGAGGTCGATTTTCCCCACTGCCTGGAGCTCTGCAAAGGGCGCCTTTGCACCAGCTCCACCGGCCTGGACATCGAGACTTGCATGCAAACAAAAAGAAAAAGGGGAGGGGCGGGGGAGAGCACTAGCCCACTGCGCAGCTGAAGCGCGCGCAGCCGGCAGCCCTCCGCATTGGGGGATTTATTGAGGGGTTCAGCCGTGACTTCTGGTTGGGATTTAATGAGGGGTTCAGCTGTGACCTCTGGTTCTCCATGCACCCCTCACCCCACATATAGACCCTAGGGCCATCACTTAGGTGAGGGCTCCAAGTTCACTTCCTTTGTCTGGATGCTCTGAACACCCTCTCCCCTCACCCCCACCTTTGCAACCTTGACGATGACTCGTGCACCGGATCAGGATCAGGCGGTGGGTTAGCGCTGGGTGTCGGCGGCGCCTGCTGCGCGCTAACACCCAGCGCGGGGCAAAACACGGCCGCCAGACGGCCGCGCGCGAAGGGCTCAGGATACTCACCAGTGAATAGGGAAATAAACAGACATGAAGTCCTAGGGGAGGCAGACCCACGCCCTTGTGACTTAAAAACGGTCACCGCGTCCCGAGTAAAGATGATACGGGCGCGGAAAGATGCACGACGGGAAGAGACAGAGAGGCAGGAGGCTGAGCGCAGGTACTGGGCGTTCGCACGTCCGCCTTCCCAAGCAGAGCCGACAGCCCAGCGGTGTCGGCCGACCAGGTAGCTATCAGCACTCTCCACCGAGCTCCGGGTCCCACAAAGAGCCAGGGAAGCCGTATATATAGAGGCGGAGGCGGAGCTTGGCTCCGGCAAGCCCCGCCTTCCCTCGCCCACTCCTGGAATAACGTCACCAAAATCATGAATGGCTTCACCTCGCGCAACTCGTGCGGGGCGGCGACTCGGGGACGCGCACGGCTCAGCTCCCCGGCGGGCTCCATGCCTGGCCCCCTCTTAACGATCTCACACACGCAGACATGCGCGTGCAGCAAGCTGGCACACACACGCACGCCGCCGAGGTGGGGGGTGCAATGTCAAGGCCGCTTCCCGCTTGCAAACATGCGCGCATCCACACACCCCACCTTGCCTTGTGCACGCCCCGGGGACTCAGAGCCGAAAGGTGGGCGTGAGGAGGACGCTGAACCTGCTCGGACTTGACCGTTGTCTGGCTCGCGCCGCGTCCGGGGAAAAAGGGGCACCTTGTCAGACCCTGATCCCATGCTGCAGCGTCCTTTTTGTACCCTGCTACCCAGCCCACTCCTGGGACCCCTTTTAAGGGCTCAAAATAGGCCTCTCTTTGGAATCGTGGTGCGCCACAAGAAACTGCGCTGTAGTGATGTTGTTGTTATGTAGTACTGTTTAATAAGTACTGAGAAGGTGGAGGAGAAGCGGAGCTGGGGACGCTGAGCACGCGCAGGAGTCGATTTGACTCTCCAGGGCCTGATCTGCAGCTCTGAAATCCGCGGAGGGCTTTATTTATAGGGAAAAGCTTATAGAGTTGTCCCAGGATTTTTCCACTAACCGCGTTACACACTTTGGGTTCCTGGCAGCGTAGAGGGGATGCAGGTGGTCAGTGCGCAGGAGGAACGGTGCACCAGCCTTGGCTCCCAGATCAGTTTCAAGGGGTCGATTTATGAGAGAAGAAACAAAGCAGCAGCCAAGTCAACCAAACCTTTCCCACACTGCCCAGGAATTGTAGCTCCCAGGCGGTCAGGCTACGTGGCCCCCACAGCATGGCAGAAGGCTGACTGGGGCCCAGCGCTGCCCCTCTGTGGCTAGAGTGCGTCGCTTCACTCTTGCCTCTGCTTCAGTTTCTCTTGTCTAAAGACTGTAATAAATAACTCAGGACTGAGTGTATATAGCGAAGAATTACTAAAAAGAATTACTCTAAAGTCAAGTCAGCGCTTTGGAAGACAGTGAATGTATTCAATCTATGGATGATGCTTAAAAATGGAAATCCATTTAAAAAATGTTGACACAAATAGAGTTACGTGGGGTAGGGGTCCTAAGGAGGCTCATTCCTAAAATTAATCCTTTTCATCCCGAAACCAGCCCAAATAAAAGTAACTTATGAGATTAAATTAAATTATAATTTAATTACAATTAAATGTAAAACACCTTTGCTGTTTCATTCACATATACACACTTTTAAGTCAAAACAGTGTGCAGTCTATGAGATGCAAACTCTAGGCTGTCCTTGCCAACCAGGCCAGCACTCCTGAACTCCTGCAGAGACAAATTCTATAGCCTTTCCCCAGTCTCTGGCAGGGCAAGGTTCAGAGCCACTAATCATAGGGTTGTGATATAATCGACTTGATGGCACCTAAACACCAGGTAGACCAGAAGTTGCCCTTTGCTGCACAGTGTCCCCTTCATTCTGTTCCTCTTGTGGTGGTATTCTGCAAGAGGACACTTTCATAGACAGAAGCTAACAGGATATGTTCTGAGTGTGGAGTTTTTGTTAATGTTGGGGCAATTTGTGTCTTCAGCATGACAGAAGTTGGGAAAGTTCAAAGCCACCAGTTCAATGTGACTTGTTGCCATCCATATAGTCAAAGAGGAAGCCAGGGCTAGGGGGAAGCCAAGGCTAGATCAGGTTTACCAGCTGAGATCTTACTGAGAACTTTGAGCTCAGACCCTGAGTGAGCCTTCTTTCCATGGTAACCATCCTAAGCCAAGGGAGTGAAAGATCCTCCTACAATTTTACATCCAAACTGCTACACTTTACACATTTGTGATTACCTGATTATGCTGATTACCTGAAGTCTATAGCTTTTGAAGGGAGCTCTGATAGCCTAGTGGGTAAGAACTTGCACTGCCAATCCAAAAGTATCTGATTCAAATCCACCAGCTCCTCTGGAAATAACTTCCTACTGGAGGAAGATGGGAAATCTCCTGTGCAATTGACAGCCTCTGAAAACAATCTGAAGAGTCTGCCATGGGTCAGTTCTGACTTGGTGGCACATAACAACAACTCTTTGAAAGAGGGCAGTGTGGTTTAGTGGTAACGAAGTCTTACCTTCAGTACAAAAGATGCAGGTCAGATTGCTGACCAGGGCACCTTGTGCAGGCCTCTCCTGTCTGTTAGTGATGTAGTCTATAGAGAGAGGCACCAGTGGTGAAAGAGGGCTGCCTCTGTGGCTATTCAAATATGCCACAGACTCCACTCGAAGAGATGGGCAATCTCCTACTGCACACTTTTCAATCTCTCAAAATCCTAAGGGAGGGCCAGCTGTGAGTCTACTCTGACTCAACAGCAATGAGTTTGCATTTTTTAATCTTGTCTGTCAATGAAGGCTTCATAATTGCTATGATGCTGAACATATTTGAAGGGAGCTCCCAGACAAAGGTTAGGAAGAAAAGCCTGGCAATTTATGTTCATGAGGTTCCCATGAGTCTTGATGGTAGTATTGATAGATTTTTTTTTTTATTAATGTGTTGTTGAGTACCATCGAGTTAGAACTGACCCATAGCAGACCCTCCAGAGGATTTTCAGAGTCTATAAATTGCAGGAGAGGAGATTGCCCATTTTTCTCCCACATTTTATTAATATTCATTGTAACTTTAACATTTACATTTGTCAGTGGGAGTGGAAGGTCAGTCTACTTTTTAGAACTATAACATAAATTCATTCATTTGAAAATTAAGAGGCATGGTACTAAACTTTGATAGAACTATGAGGAATGAATTATTAGTATACTATTTCTCAGCAATACTTTATATATGGCATCCTGCAGTTTTTCGATGTGATTTCACAACATATAGTCCCCAGTTTACACATATGCAAATTGCATCTAAAGTAAAGTAGGGGGCTTGCCATAATCCAGTTAGTAAGTGGTTGGAACCCAAGAACTTGGAGATACATTTATCTTTCCACTTTGTAGTAGAATGTTCCTCTCTGCTATACTGCATTGAGTCCTTGTGTTTTCATCTTTTCTGTAGAGACACAGAGCATTTCAACAGGCAGACTATTTCTTAACAATGCCCTACCAGATAGCTTACTATCCCTGCTGCCTTTGAAGAAATGAAGAAACAGAAACACAAGTGAGTAAAGTTAGAGCCCCAGAACCTTACAGCTGAAAGGAACCTTCTAAATCACCTAATCCAGGCTCCTCATTTTACACATGGGAAGATACGTAGGAGATTAAGTGGCACGTCCAAGGCTGCCAGGCTATTAAGTGGTGTCGATGGAACCTGAATGCAGGCCATCAGTCCCTGGGCAATTGCTCTTTCCACTCCAACACGACGCCTTGCACCACATTTGCCAAGTAGTCAGCAGCAGAAGTCACATACAAGACCTAAACTCTCTAAAAAACCTGTCGTCTGTCACCAACTTTTGTTGAACATCTACAGTGTGGAGAGCAATGGAGTAAAAGTCAGAGGCCCCACACTCTCTCCCTTCCCGTACCCTATTTCCAAGAATTAAGGGGCTGAGTTATAACTCTGCTTTGATAAAAATCTCAGAATCTAGTGTATAATTCAAATTGTCTTGCTTTCCAACATCTTCCAACATTGTTGTTTTTATTTTGTTATTGATTGCCATTGAGACTCATGAACAAAAGGCCTGAAGCCCCTCTGCAACTATCGACATTTATCAAAGTTCATAGAGTTTCTGGAGGCATGCTGTTTAGGAAGCCAATGCCACTCCTGCTTCCACGTTAGAACCAACTCATTGAGGTGCTCCTCCAGCAGGTTTTCAGAGGCTGTAAATCATATGGAAGGAAATTGTTCATCTTTCTTTCTTCCACAGAGCAGCTGGTGTTTTTTAATTACCTGCCTTGGAGTTGTCAGTGCAACTCCCTACAAGTAGGCCATCAAAACTTAATCAATATTGTTGTTCTTTTGTGCCTTTAAGTCAGAACCGACTCATAGCCTGGGTTTCCAGAGGCTGTAAATCACAAGGGAAGAGATTAGAGCAGCTTGTAGATTTGAATGGCCTGCGTTTGTGTTGGCAGCACAACTACTTGTCCACTAGGCCACCAGAGCTCTCCCTCAGTGGGTATTGGACTTTACCAACATCTCACCTCAGTTTCTGTCCCATCTAAGATAATTTTTTAAAAAGGTAATTAATTTGAGATCCTATTAGAGTTAACTATAATCACAAGCATACCATAGCACAAAGAATATTTCATTATGCACCTAGTTTTAAAAAAAAGAAAGCCAAGGCTTCAGCTAAATTTCTGCACTTTATCTCCCTCTTGGTTTGCAAAACAAACAACAACAACAAAAACAAACCCAAACTTAGTATCACATTTAATTTGCCTGGATTGGAGTGAAGCTGGCACTTTGGTTAGAGAGTTAACAAAATGAAACACAAAAAGTTGTTGTCGAGTTGATTTTTTACTCATGGCAGCTCCATGTGTGCAGAGTAGGGCTGAGCCCCATAGGGTGCTCACAGCTGTGGTCTTTCAGAGCCTTTCTCCTGCGGTGTCTCTGGGTGGGTTTGAACTGCCAACCTTTCAATTAGTAGAGTAGGACTCCTTGGTTAGCGAAAATGGATTTCAGTGAAGGACCCCATTGATCTCGAAC